CTCAAAAAAAACAAAAAAAAAAGAATTCTATATCCAGCAAAACTATCATTTAAAGGTAAAACAAGATAAAATGCAAACTTCCCAGATAAACGAAAACTGAGATAATCTATAAATCTGCAGACAGCAGACATACAAAAATACTAAAAAATAAGTTAAAAAAAAAAAACTTGGCTGGGTGTGGTGGCACACGCCTTGAATCCCAGCACTAGGGAGGCTGAGGCAGGCGGATCTCTGTGAGTTCGAGGCCAGCCTGGTCTACATAGTGAGTTCCAGGCCAGCTGGGGCTACAGGGAGACCCTGTCTCAAAAAAGACCAAAAAAAAAAACTCAAAAAACTGAGATACCCTTCAAGATGAAAGGATACAAGACAGTAAGTCAAATCTATATGAAGAAATAAAGTACACTGGTAAAAATACAGCGTTTATGTCCCTTTTAATTTTGTAATTAAGCAGATAACTACAAAAGACAATTATAGACCTGTTGATATACATATAATGCAGAAATCTGGGTTCCGAATAACAGTAGCATTATAAGAAACAGAACACAGTTGCACAGAGCAGAGTTTTGTTTTGGTTTTTTTTTAGTCTTTTTGAGACAGGGTCTCCCTGTAGCCCCAGCTGTCCTGGAACTATGTAGACCAGGCTGGCCTTGAACTCACAGAGGCCTGCCTCTGCCTCTGCTGAGATTAAAGGTGTGTGCCACCACGCCCAGCAGAAGCAGAGTTTTTATATATCACTGAAAACAAGCTACATTAACCCAAACTAAATTGTGATAAACTAGGGTGTTAGTTATATCTCTAGAGTAACCACCAAAACTAGTTAAAAAAAAGAAAAAACAAAGAACAAAAAAACAGTAAAGCCTTTAACCATGTGCCTGGTCCTGTAACTCAGTAGTAGAGTACTTTCCTAGTATGGCGAGATAGTTGAGGCCAGTCTTAGCTATATATGGAGTTCAAGGTCAGCCTCAGCTACTACAGCCTCTGTCCCCCAAAAAACAAAAAACAAGCACAAAAGGCCAAGCATGGTAGCACACGCCTGTAATCCCAGCACTCAGGAGGATCAATGCAAGTTTCAGGCCACCCAGACCTATATAATGAGACTATCGTTCTATCCCCAAAGGAAAAACCAACAACCAAGCAACTTGGACATTTCTCTAAAGATATACAGGTGGTCAAATGGCCAATAAAGACTGTCAAGACACTGAAACTGCACACCTGCTATTGGAGGTGATTTGGAAGTTCTTCAAAAATTTAAATGCAGGGGATGTAGTCCTCTGTCTAGCATATGCAAAGCCCTGAGTTCCATCCCTAGCACCACATAAACCAGAAATGGTGATACATGTCTATAATCCCAGCACTCAGGAGGTATCAGAAGTTCAAGGTCATCCTTGAATTCAAGGCTAGCCTGGGCCATATAAGACTGTCTCAAAAAGAAGACAAAGCCAGTGGTGGTGGGTCATACCATTATTCCAGCACTCGGAAGGCAGAGGCTGGCAGATCTCTGTGAGTTCAAGGCTAGCCTGGTCTACATAGAGAGTACCAGGCCAGTCAGTGCTATATAATGAGACCCTGTCTCAAAAAAACCATGGGGCTGGAGAGATGGTTCAGCAATTAAGAGCAGTGGTTGCTCTTGCAGAAGACCCGGGTTCAAGTCCCAGCACCCACATGGTAGCTAATGACCATCTGTAACTCCTGTTCCAGGGGATCCAACACCCTCTTCTGACCTCCACAGGCATTGTACAACATGAGTGCACCTACCCACATGTAGGCAATACACTCAAACATATAAAATAAAGATATTCTTTAAAAAAAAAAACAACCCAACAACAGGGGCTGGAGAGATGGCTCAGCAGTTAAGAGCACTGACTGCTCTTGCAGAGGACCGGGGTTCGATTCCCAGCACCCACATGGTGGCTACGAACTGTCCTTAACTCCAGTTCCAGGGGAATCCGAAGCCCTCTTCTGACCTCCATGGCATTGCACGACATGGGTGCACTCACATACCTGCAGGCAATACATTCATACACACAAAATAAAAATAATAAATATTTTTTAAAAACACAACAAAATGGCAACGACAAAGAAATTAAACTAATTTTTGTTAGTTGATTCTCTGATAAAACATAACAACATTACTGATTAAGAAAATCTGGGACCAGCAAGATGGCTCAGTGGGTAAATGCACTTGCCCCACCACTGATGACCTGAGTTTTATCCCCAGCATCCATGTGGGTGGAAGGAGTGAACCAACTCCCACATGTTATCCTCTAACCTCCACTTGTAAAATTCAGTAGTTGGAGCAGCCACTGATTTCCAAGGCTTATTAAAATGTTCATTTCAGGTCTCTAGCTCAATAAATTTTTCTTGTATTTCCCAAAATATCCATCTTGAAAACTAATTTAGGTCTAGGGTTATAGCTCAGCAGTAGAGCCCTTACCTCACATGCATGAGGGCCTGGATCTTCAACACCAAACAACACACACACACACAAATAATTTTTTTTAAGATTGGCTGCCACTTCCCCAGTCAACCTCAGATCTTAATTTCTGCTTCAGCATCTGTAATTACTTCAGCAAATGGATGCTTCTCTAGGTTACACAAACACTCCTTAAAATTCTGAGCAGTAACTGAGGGTTCTACATTTTGCTTTCATGGTAAAGAACACCAGAAGTAAAATCTGCAGTAAGTCACAGAGAAAAGTATTAAAAACACCAATGTAACAGAACAATTCAAAAAGAGTCAAGGGGCTGGAGAGATGGCTCAAAGGTTAAAGAGCACTGACTGCTCCTGCAAAAGACCCAGGTTCGATTCCCAGCACCCACATGGCAGCTAACAACCATCCATAACTCCAGTTCCAAGGGATTCCTACACTCTCTTCTGGCGCACTGCATGACACGGGTGCACTTACATACATGCAGGCAATACACTCATACACGTAAAAATTATTTTTTTATGTCAAACGCAGGAATAAACAGTGTCTGCTGTGAAAAAGTGCCCTTGACCTGGTTTTTGAAAGACCTAACTAAAATGAAAAACTGTCCCATTCCTCCAGGACTGGAACCAAGTTCTGTGGTTTTCTTAAGCTGTTTTGTTTCCTCTTAATTCCTAGAGGTCACTACGCTAGGAGTGAATCTCAAGATGACTTAAAACCCCATCTGGGAGGGACATGTACATAGCTCCCCAGACGGGTTACAGTTTGATAGTTTCTTCATTGACATTCAACAAGTACTAGGCCGTGCCAAACACTAGGTTAAGAGTGAAAACCACGCGGTCATTTCTCCTGCAGCTTTCGATCTGACCATCTATTCATTCCACTTAACTATTCAGGTCAGAATTGACCCAAAGAACCTCAGAATGCACAGGGACCGCAGGGAGATAAATGCCATTTCCACATGAAACTGTGGGCCCTAGGTGTCTCATCCAAGGTCATGTGACAGGCACCGCCTGGGGCCCACAGCCCCACGGCCTCTCCAGCGGCCAGGGAGGACAAGCAAACCTCATCACCTAAGGATCCCATGTCACGCTCTTCTAGAAAGAGAGGGCGGCTAAGGCCAAACGAGGGTCAGAAGGGGGCGATGTCTCAGTTTCCCCAAGGAAGAGCGCCCACGGGGCCCAGCTCGGCACGGTCTCCCCACGTCTTCCGGCAGCCCCCGCCCCACCCTGCGCATCCCAGCACGGAGCCCCGCAGGCGTCTACACAGAGGAACTCCTGCACTCACAAGGACTCGCACCAGCAACGCCATGTTCGTCCGTGATCATTTCCGGGTGAAGGGTGGGCTTCCGGGATCCCGTTGTCACCACCCCTTCCCTACCCGGTCTTTAGCTGAGGGTAGTCCGGCGGCGCAGGCGCGGAGGTCCCCCGCTGCTCCTGTCCCTGTGCACGTCACAATGGCCCAAGTTCTTCCCCCCAGGCAGCCTCCGAGACCCCGACCTCTCTAGCCTCCCTGCAATAGCCCCTTGCATCCTGACTGCACCTCCCAGGAGAAATGGAGCACCGAAGAACAGGAGGGGAAGGAACCCCAATACCTTTTTAAAATATTTTATTTTTATTTTATATGAATGTATTGCCTGCATGTGTGTAAGTGCACCCATGTATTGACTGCTTGTATATAAGTGCACTCATGTCATGTAATGCCTGCGGAGGTCAGAAGGCATTGCATCCCCTGGTACTGGAGTTACAGATTGTTGATGGCCACCATGTGGGTTGCTGGGAATCAAACCCAAGGCTTCTGCAGGAACAGCTAGTGCTTCTAACCACTGAGCCATCTCCCCAGCCCCAATCCTAATAATTAAGGAGTGCCTAAGAGTCTAATACCCTAAGGCAGCACAGTCCTGGAAAGATGCTCCTCAGTCACAGGCTGACCCGAAGCATGGCAGAAGAGAAGGTGTTTAGGGGTTGAATATTGATAAGAAAAAGTTAGCAAATGATCACACAAGAGGAAGAAGGATGAGAGTGTTCTGGGGAAATGTGAAAAGAACGGTCTTGACCCAGGAGAAGTAGAAAAGAGAGGATATTGCTTCAGGGATTGACTGGGAGCAAAAGCCGGGATGTTGAAACACTTCCTTCAAGTCAATAAAGACCCATTAAGAATTCACTATGTCTTGGACACAAGGCTAATGTGGGACCTCTGTGGAGCTCATTGGCTGGTGGGGGAAGTACAGGCAAGTCTAGTCAACCCATGGAAAAAAATAAATAAAAACTATGATGTGCTATGAAGGAGCCAATATATAGCTAATATAAACAATATCATGGGCAACTTCCAGCATAGCTAGATAAAGCCAGTGTGAGTGTCTGAGGAAGTAGCAAGTAAGATGAGATCCAGGATGAGGTGTCCCTGGGAAGTGAGTTCACATGTCCCTACCTACCCTCCATCCTTTTTTTTTTTTTTTTTTTTTTGAGACAAAATTTCATGTAGCCTAGGCTGGCCTCAGACTCATGTATGTAGTTGAAACTGGCCTTGGAGTCCTGATCCCTTGCTTCCATCTCCCAAATGCTGGGATATAGATATGTACCACCACGCTTGCCCTTGCAATTCTTTTTTTTAAAATGTAAGTTAATTTTTTAGTTGGCAAGTAAAAATCCTATATATTTATGTTTTTTAAATGTTTACATTGTGAAATAGCTAAACTAAGCCAACTAGCATATATAGTTTCATTTGTTTTTTGTGGTGAGAACACTTAATATGTACTCTCTAAATGGTATTCGAGAATATAATACAGCCAGTCGTAGTGACACACACCTTCAAATCCAGTGGTCAGCAGGCAAAGGAAGAGCTCTGTGAGATTGAGGCCAGCCTGGTCTACATAGCAAGTTCCAGGCCAGCTGTGGCTACAAGGAGACCCTGTCTCAAAAGGATCAAAAAAATATAATACATTGTTATTAACTATAGTCACCATACTATACAGTAGAGCTCTATACAATAGAGCTCTTGAACCTAGTCTTCCTATCTAAAAATTGATATTCTTTGCCCAGCATCTCAGCCTCTTTCTCAGCTCCTGGTAGCCACCATTCCACTGTTCATTTCTATGAGTAAAACATTTTTAGATGCAGTGTTTGTCTTTCTGTGCCTGATTTACTTCACTTAACATAATATCCTCCAGCTTCACCCATTTTGTCCCAAGAGACAGAATTTCTTCCTTTATTAAGGCTGAACAGCATTCCATTATAAATATAAACATTTTCTTTACCCATCTGTTGATGGACACTTGTATTTATTTTATATGTTAGCGGTTGTGATTAATGCCACATGAACATGTGAATACTGATTTCATATCCTGTAGCTATACACCCATTAGTAGGATCACTAGATTATATAATAGTTCTATTTTTTTATTTTTTATTTTTTGCATGGGGAGTTTCCATTCTGTTTCCATAATGGCTGAACTAATTTACAGCCGTTATCCATAGTATTGCAATTTTTTTTCTCCACTTCCTCATCAACACTTGTTATAATATCTCACAAATGTGATATCTCATTGTGGATTTAATTTGCATTTCCCTGATGATTAATGATGGAGGGTTTTTTTTCCTTATGTCTGTTGACCATGTATATATCTTTTGTTTTGTTTTTTATTTTATGTGTATGAATGTTATACCTGCCTGTATGTAAGTGCACTTGTGTCATGTAGTGCCCTGTCAGAAGAGAGCATTGGATCTCCTGGAACTGGAGTTAGGGTCCAGTTGTTAGCTACCATGTGGGTGCTGGGATTTGAACCCAGGTCTTCTGTAAGAGCAGCCAGTACTCTTAACCACTGAGCCATCTCTACAGTCCTGGCCATTTATATATCATTTGGAGACAAATTACTGTTTTCAAAGATCTTTTGCTCATTATTGGGGAGGGTGTTTGTTTTAGTTGATTGGTTTTTGTCATTTTTTTTGCAGTGCTATCAAACCCATAGCCTTGTGAATACTAGGCAAGAACTCGACCACAGAGTTACATCCCCAGTCCCTTTGCCTGTACCTAAATCAAATTATTTATTTTGTTGCTATTAAATTGAGTTCTTCATATAGTTTGGATATTAATATCATATTGGATGTATGGTTTGCTGGCATGGCATGACTCAGCAGGTAAAGACACTTCCCACACAAACCTGGCAAACTGATTTCAATCCCCAGAACCCACATAAAGGTGGAAGGAGAGAACAGACTCCACAAAGTTGTCCTCTGACCGCCACATGCATAGCGTGGCACATGTACCCACACACACATTATATACACACACAAAAAATAGTAGTGATACTGAAAGACATTTGGGTACAAACGCCTGAATGAATAGGACTTGGCATGTATGACAGAGTGGATAGGGTTTGGGGAGAAGAAGCATAGATGGGGGAGGGGGTCTGGATGTGAGTAGGAAATATTGTATGAAATTTTAAAAGGCCAATTAAAAAAATAAAAATAAAATAGTAGTGATAAAAATTGTAAATGGTTAAGATAGTACATTTCATTATGCCCTTTTAAATTAAAAAAAAAATTATTCTATGTGTATGAGTGCTTTGTCTGCATGTATGTAAGTGCACCATGTGTGTTATGCCTGTGGAGGCCATAAGAGGGCAGTGGATCCCCTGGAACTGGAGTTATGGATAGTTGTTAGCTGCCATGTGGATGCTGGGAACTGAACCTGGGTCCTCTGCAAGAGCAGCCAGTGCTCTTACCTGCTCAGTCATCTCTCTAGCCCCCATTATGCCCTTTTGAAATAGGAGTGTGAATCTGCTGATCCTTCATCTTATCTTGGTTCCTTGCTCTTTACAATATGTACCTATTCCTGGCTAAATGTGATTTTCTCATTTAAACTTAAACATTATCTGTACAACATAGCCCTTACATACAAGCTGACTCCTTATGTGGACATTAGTCAAACAAACTGCTATGATATTGAGGGAGAAATGGTCATGTTGAATTGTCAAGAGAAGAGAAAATGTAATATTTAAAGCATTTTCTTTTCTTCTCTTTCTTTTTTTTTCTTTTGGTATTTTTGAGAAAGGGTCTCCCTATAGCCACAGCTGGCCTGGATTTGCTATGGAGACCAGGCTGGCCTTGAACGCACAGAGACTCACCTGCCTCTGCCTTCCAAGTGCTGGGACTAAAGGCATGCACCACCATGCCCAGCTAATCTTTAAAGTATTTTCATAGTGGACTGAAGAAATGGCTCAGTGGTTAAGAGTACTTGCTGTTTTTACAGAGCACTTCAGTTTGGTTCCCAGTACCACATGGCAGCTAATAACTGTCTATAACTCCAGTTCCAGGGGATCCAACACCTCTGGCTACAGGGGGCACCTGCACTCATGTGCACATACTCACATACAGAAATATATATGCATATATATGTATATATGTACATGATATATATAATTAAAAATAAAATAAACGTTAGCTAGGCATGGTGGCACATGCCTTTAATCCCAGCACTTGGGATGCAGAGACAGGCAGATCTCCGTGAATTTGGGGCCAGCTTGGTCTACATACCAAGTTCCAGGCCATCTGGGGCTGCAGAGAGATCCTGTCTCAAAAAGACAAAAAAGAAACAAATGAACAAAAAATGGAGTTTCAGAGATCTTTTGGCTTACCATTGCTTCTGTGTGTGAGGGAAAGCAGGGAATATATATAATCATGGAGTTCCTGGTACCAACAACTCGCCAATGATGTTCTTGACCTTTGTGGTCTGGCTTCTTGGTTTTCTCTGTTCTCCAAGGCAGGTGGACAGCCTCAAATACCCATACTTAAGGAGTCTAGCAGCAACCAAAACCAACCCTCACAGTCAGTAGAACCATCACCAACATGGCATGATTTTAGGAATGGAAGAATATGCCTTCTCTGCTTTGTAAGCACATTCATTTGTTCATGTAGTCCCTCTGCTGAGAAATGTGGTCCTTAAACCCATATCCGAATTTCATTCAACCTTCAGGATTCAATCAAATCCCATGTCCACATGAAGTCTCCTACCATCCTTTCCTGTTCATTCATTCATCACAGACATTCAATGCCCTCCTTTCTCTTTTGTAAATTCATTTTTTATTTTATTATGTGTATGAGTGTTTTGCCTTAATCACATGTGTAGTTGGTGCCTGTGGAAGCCAGAGGATGACATTGGAGTCCCTGGAACTGGAGTTACAGATGGTTGTGAGCTGCCACATGGGTCCTTTGAAAGAGCAGCCTGTGCTCTTAGCTGCTGATCCATCTCTTCAGCACCTTACCCTCTTTTTCTTATTTTCTTGAGTTAAATTATATGCTTCTTACATAATATTTTTACATCCACGTGGTGTGTGTATGTGTGTGGATACGCATGTGCTACTGTGCAACACGTGGAAGTCAGAGGA